AATTTTGTAACTACAGTTGCATTTTGTATATGCTAGCTGGCAAGATCCTTTAACGTTTTCAATTTATATCAATTTATTTATGGAATATTAGATAAATTACAATTCGAAGGAGAATAAATGCCAAAAATGTTAAAATCATTGCAAAGTGCTGTTTCCCATATAAAATTATTGCAATGCCATGCGAAATACGAATTCGGAAGGGCATCTTGGGACGCGTACGGTGTACGCTAAACCAGTTGGAAAATTGCAAGTATGACAAATCAGCGACACATGTTCGACATAAATTTGTGATTCCGATTGCTGTACCGAAATGTCTATTGAGTCTTTCTCACTCTTTCCCATTCTCTCATTTCATTTTTTTTTTTTTGCTTTTTTACACTTCCTTTTTTGTGTGCTGAACTGCGCACAGGGCGAAAAAAATCTTTCACTGAATTACAAATATAAAAACTCGTTGCTCATATTAATATTGCAATTTATGAGCGAAAATAATTTCATTTATTTATTGGTTTTCGTATTGTTGGTGCGGTATGAGAATGCTTAAGTGGTAAAATGTATTGCATTGCAACAGATATTACGCTTGTTGAAAACAAAAAAAGTATGAAAAAGAAGTAACAAAAACACCCGGAGAATGGATAAACAAAAAAAAATCTGAATGTACACAAAAATGGGCAAACTCAGCATTTTGACAAAATGTAGATAATTCATAAAGAGGCGAATGAGTGTGAGAAAAACACGTCAATGAAAAGTCTCATCGAAAATGAATGATCGACTAGACAAAAAAGGCAATATTCTCTGAAGAAATAATATTTGCTCTCAAGCAATGAAAATGCTTTTCATTTGATTTCCGACACTTTTTTCGCTCGCTCTCTCCCTCTCTATCTACTTCTCTTTTCACCACTCACTCTGGATACTTTCTTGATCAATAGCTCTCTGTTTTGTTTTGTGGTAAACATCCCTCAAGCGATATTTATTAGTTACTTGGGTATCGTACTTCGATCACTTATGAATACAATTTTTTCTAACTTTTGTTGTGTTTTTGTTCATAAATTTGGTTTTATTTGTGCAACATCGCATAGAAATTATGATTAAATTATCATAATTTGATGTTTGATATGGGACCGACCGTACAGCAAACGCCACGTTTTTTTAGATCGTTTTATAGATGTCACATCGAAATATGCTGCATCGAAATGAACGATTTGAGCAAACGAGCAAGTGAATATCGTGTCGGGTCTCTTCATATTGATTACATTGTTCAGTAATGCAACCAGTGTCGTGTGTGTGTGTGTGTGTCACAAGTTTGCTATATGAGACTGGTAACGGTAAACTTTCCACATACAAAATGAAATATAATAGAGACACATTTACACACGCATACGAATAAAAAGTGAACAAGCCAAATAAAAGCAACCAAGTCGTTGCCACCATCAACAGCAAAATGCCACCAGACCGAAATTGCGAAAATTGATATTGTTGTGTGCTTCGAAATACATTCTAATAATGCTTCATCTAGAATTTCTTACTTTGAACGTAGCATTTTTTAGTAGCAAAAAATCCACATTCCGATAAAAAATATTTTTCAGTTTTTTCTTCTGTTCAAGTCATACCAACGACTCGTTCAGATTTGGATGTGAGCACACGCTCACTTTTATGGTTCTTCAATAGGTGCACATTTGAAGTGGATTGAAATGTTGTCTGCTTCTCGCGAGAAAAGGAACGACGAACGAAGCACAAACCGATGCGAAATAAATTGACAATTTAATAACGATGTATAAATGTGGAAAAAGAATCAAGATTAGAACGAGAAATAGAGATAGAGTGAGAAAAATGTGAATAAAACAGCAAAATAATTTGTATGAAAATCATAAAAAAAACCATGTTCACCAAAGAAATGATTATTAGTTACGAAAAGAATATTCAAATGAAACGGCAACCGACAACTGAATAGAATGTTTTTCGCACGCTCTGCTCACACTCCATTTAAAGCAATGTATTGGGTTTCGAGAACGGGGATGTGCTGCCACCTGGTATCTCAAAGTTAAGCTGCTATAACGCATATGCTTCTTGTAAATGATGAAGAAGAGGAAAGCAATGTCTTTATGGTTGAACGTATAAATGACAGAGAGCAGCACAACTGCAGTGTTCAAAGTGCGATTGCCCTTTGGTTTTTCGGCGTTTTAAGAGCTCGCGCATGTTACAACATAAAATCAGAAAAGGAGACAATCCATGAAAAAAAATATGGAAAATTAAAGAATTCCATTCAAAAAATGACATTGATACATTTTTGTCCTTTTTCATTTAAAAAAAAAAAAAACCAAACAGATAAGAGCAATTGAAAATTGAAATGACTACCGCACAACCGAAAAAAACACAATTCAAGTGTAAAAAAGCTATCTGGAAGACCACGACGAGATGTAAGCGCAAGCAAAATGGGAGGGAATAAGTGAGTAACACATAGAATTTTAGAAAGAAGCAACAATAATTTTATAGTGTTATGTGCATTTTAATGCTAATGTTCAGCAAATTCCAACTGAGCGACAAACCACAACAGAAAATGAACATTATGACGATGGTATTTGTCCTTTTTTTCTTGTTCGTTTCGCATTGATTCGATGTTGCTCTGTATTCGTTCGTTCACTGCAAAAATATTTATTGCTGACGTAATTTGTGTTTGAAACGGAGCCACAGGCTTCATAAAATAAGCGAAACGAATAAAAAAAAAACCATTTTAATACCTTTACTCCCCATAAGCACGTAGTTTATATTTACATTTGTCGCTTCGTTCGTTTGCCACACGCACATTCGATTCCAAAATAAAAAATACTTTCAATGGTCTTGCAAAAATTGTTTTCTTGTTTCATCACCATCATCAGCAGTCGTCTGATGTCACATGATTTTCATTCGATTGCAAAAAGGATAATGCCTTTTCTTGTTGAACTCTACTTTTATAGGTGTTTTTTTTGTTGCGATAGACTTGATATTGGACTTGTATGGCTTCTTTATTTATTTATATTTTGTTTATTTGATTGTTGGCCTATCACATCCATGCACTTTTTTCAAAACCAAAACGGCGTGTGTTTGTGTGTCAACTTTCAGCATCAACAAACTCAAAACATATAATAATAAATGCCACTTTTATCATTTTGAATTGTAAATTGCAACTCACTTATATACACTTATCAAACAAGAAAAGACCATCGTGAATCCTGTGGCCGAGCATAAAAGTGGTCGTTTCGTGTTTGTAGGTGGTACAATATCATTAAAAATTCCAACCACCTATTATTTGTATGGCGTGACCAGAGATTTGTCAAACACAAAATTGAACATTTATATGCTTTGATAGTAAAAAAAACTATAGGCACTTCGATTTTTTTTTGGATTCCCAAAAGTATAATTTAAAATGTGTTCCATTTGCTGGGCAATTCATCGTATATAAAATTAAATGTCAGGGATAAGGATTTGATTATCTGCTACGTTCAATAATTTATTGAAACCATTGATGAACAACAACAATTTATTTATTGTGAAAAAGAAGTAGAAAAAGAAACCGACTTTCATTCTGGAATAAAAATTGTGGGTCCAGTATTTATGCTTTTCGATTTAAATGGGGTATGTTTTCCATTAGAATTTGGATTATCTCTAAAATGTCAGGTTATTCCCAAGCGTCTTGGCTACAGGACCGTGTTCTCAATAAATCTAGAGACAAATCGATAACGAAGCGATTCAAATCTAAAATGTTTAATATTTTTATTCTATTGGTTTTTGGGTCTTAGTTTTTTGAATACATGATCAGTGGCCAGGTGAGTTCGCGTTGCATTTTTTCGTTCTGTGTGCATATCGACATTTCGGATTTTCCACATTAAATATTCAACAAAAAATAATATGACAATCATCCAATCATGAGAGAAAGACTCTCGGTATTTTTACAAAAATTGCTAATAAAATTGTCAACAAATGGTTATTGCCATTATGATTTTAGTGTCAGTTCAGTCTGATTTTGGTGTCAAATTATTTGCACAATATTCAATTACCATGTTCTTCACAGAAAAAATGTGTTTGCGATTAAATTTGTTTGAAAATGTAATGAATTTGATGGTGTCGGTAAAATATTCAAGATGAATTTTCGAATGAAGCCAGTTTAAAGTTGAAATAAACAACGACGATGATGACAACACATCCAATTAAAACTGCTTATTCTTCATTCATTCGGTTATGATAAATATTTTGGCCAAAATTCAGAATACAAATAATGGCAAAAGCATATGACAAAATGTCTTTCTATATTTAAATCGAGATAGCAGTGAAAGGTGAACGTAAACATGTGTGACATGATCGGTTTAGCTTTGTTTAAATTCACTTGAATTTCTGTTGTGAGTCAAAAATATATGCAGGTGTATTCATAGCCATCATCATTGTTTTTCGCTATATTTTTAATGTGACATCAATGTTATTTAAGTGGAACAATAAATTAGTTCATTTGAAATATTGATTCATTCTTTCAATAATATTTATTTAGACAACAATATTTCCAAATGACATCACAATGTCAAAAACGCTTAAATGTTTCAAATCGTAATTGTTTTGTTCCGATAGCGCATACTATCTGCGATATTTCGTTATTATACATCAATGGACAGATTAGTATAGAATTGAGTGTAAGTTTCACATGAATTTAAAGCAGAAATGGGAACGACGGGCGAAGAAAAAATCGCGATGATTATTGTTTAAGTATTTCTGTAGAAAGGAAGAATCATGTCAACAAAGTAAACATCGCTAAAAAGAACGAAAAACAGAATGTCAAAAAAATCGCTTTGTTGTATGCGTAACGGGTCAAAATCAAAACACACGCATACACCGAAAAGTAAACATTTTACTCATCACAACCAGATTGGAATAAACGAGAATATTTACAGAACGCGTTAACCCAGAAAAAAAAAACAACGAAATGTAGCATATCGCACATACACATTGATTACAGTTTATACTTATCAATCGAATGAGTTTTGAACATTGGGTCTGAAGCAAATTTTCGAGAACAGTATAAATGTAATTGTTGACACACAAAGTTCAGTATAAACTCTGTGCTAGTCTCACTGTTAGTTTGGTTCATTTTTTGTGTGTGCTAAAGTGCTAAAGTGATATCAAGAATAAAACAATTCTTCCGTACATACCATTTGCATAAATAATTGAATTCAATTGTGACAATGGAACGATTGAACATTGTGCTTTTACTAATTCTCTTGCAGTTTTTGTGTGGTGGTCAAGCGGCAGCACAATGCAAAGATATCGGTCAATATGTAAGTTAGAGATTAGTCACTTGTTTACATTTAAGGTGTTATTGCGTTGCATTCTGTAATGCCCATATAATCATCGTATGGCACTCATGGTATATTCGTTTTAAACACAAACGCACACATAATATATTTCACAGTGTACAGCGCATACGGATTGCTGTTCGACTAGTTGTCTATCGTTTTCGTATAAATGCGTTGAACGGCACCAGGAACCCGAACAGCTTAATGAAACTGTTGCATCTACAACAGAACCTATAGTTGCAGCATCCACAATAAGCGATATCGACAAGTTGGCCGAGAGATTTGATGGCGATGATGCTACGACAAACACGTATCAAACACGTCCGAATGAGATGCCATCAACAATGCTTCCTATTCAAACGGATCAACCAGTATCGCAGACAAGCAACGAAATAGGCCATAATGATAGCAATTGCCGTTCAAATGGTTCTTTGGTATAAAACTTTTTTTAACGTTGCTTACTGATCGCAGAAGCGAAAAAAACGCATTCAATACATTTATGTGGCAATCGTTTGTTTTTTTTTTCTTTCGTTCTATAGTGTATGAATTCGAATCAATGTTGTTCGAATTTCTGTTCAAAAATAACAAACCTGTGCATTGTCCCAACGCCAGACAGTTTGTCAACGGAACAAATGACACTTACACGACCAGCGGTCTTGAGTAATAAACCAGAAGTTACTTGCTATGATATCGGACACAAGGTAACGTTTTTTCTCCTCATTTTAAATCATCTCCAGTTACACGTATATTTCATTCCAATTAAATCGATATTCACGATGCATGACAAAAATCAAACCGAAAAAATATGTACATTTTGGTTTCGTGAATTTTAATACTAGCGTAAATATCAAATTTTCTTTATTTGATTCGAATGGTTGCTGGTTAACATTAAATTACTAGTGTTTTAATTAATCAATTTAATGAGATACACAAATTTTGTTTTCCATCAATATCGGAGCCCGATAAACCGGGTTTGAGGTAGATAGTCGTGACCCCTCGTGTGTCTTTTTTAAACTACATACTTAACGATACTGAAAATTTTGCCGATAAATTGCGTTATTAATTATGTATTTTTAGAAGTAAACGTTGAATTTGACACGAATGAAAGAGAGTAGAAATAAATATTTTCTTAAATGAAAACTAATTTTCTTTTCGATTAGCGTTCATAAGATTAAAAAATATTATTTTAAGAATTTTAAATAATAAATTGAGAAATAATATGAGCAACATAACCTCAACCAGCCCATTGAAATATTCTCTAGAATAAAGTGAGGTTATGTTACACATATTATGTTTAAATTTATTATTTAAAAATTTTGAAATAATATTTTTTAATCTTATGAACGCTAATCGAGAAGAAAATTAATTTTCATTCTAAAAAATATTTTTTCGGCAAAAAATTTTTTCGTCATTTTAAAAGTATCTATATGTTATTTAATATTTCTCTGGATGTTTCATTCATTGAATGAATCACTCAATCGTTAAGTATGTAGTTTGAAAAAAAAAACACGAGGGATCACTTCTGTGCCACATTTTAAAATTTTGTATGGGTTTATCGGGCTCCAATCAATATACATTTTTCACATCCATTAAATTCCATCACGAAGTGTATATGATTTTTTTCCGATTTTTTTTCGATTTTTTTTGCAGTGCTATGCAACAGCAAACGTTGAATGTTGTCCGCCACTCCGTTGCCATGGATATCTTCATAAATGTGTGACATAAAACTCTGGATAATGTCATCTAAAGTGGCACACACTCGTATGCAATTAATTTAACCATTGGGTGAAACATTATCTAGTTAACCGGGGGGAGGAAGGTAGAGACAGAGTATCGGTGAATTCAGATTGCAAATCGAAGAGAATGCGAGAGTATTCAACACCGTCATTCGACAGCATTCAAAGGACTTAACGGACAATCAGATGAAAATTCAATTATCCAGAAATTAAATTGTTGCATAGAAATATTACATCGGCCATATGTTAGTTTACACAGAAACGGAGAACAAGGAACAGCAATCTGTATTCACTGACTTATACTTCCATAGCAATAATTGTGTAAAACATTATAAAGCTTTGTCTCGTTTTCAACGGGACATGTCCAATCACATTCATTTTACGTTGCATACCTATTTATTATTATTATTATTATTACGGTTTTTCCGTCTATACTATTCGAATTCGTTCGGTTTTATACTTTATAAAACAATTGACTATAATTTTCGCTTTGAATAAAAAAAGAGTGCATGAGGAAAACCCCATAGCATAAAATAAAGATAAACGTGTATATATATTGTTGATAAGAGCTCCATGATGTTGCCCATAATGGCTGATTCATTAAAAACTTTTTATTGGTCATAACAAAAATTTGCATTTATAACGGCCTCGATGTCGAACAGACACGCTTCAAATGTGCACTGCTACGCATCTACCAAGCAATGTCAACATTTTTTTTTACTTTGTCTACCAACACAAAAATTCATATTATTCTGAAATGTTAATGTTTTAACATTGATACGTACAGTATGTTTCATTATAGAGAGAGGTTGATTTAACTACCACAAATTTCAAATATCCTAAAAATGTTTTTCGTGTTGCCATATGAGACTCTAAGCTACTACGCCAATTAACAATGACAGCTCTCAAATCAGTACAGTGTTTGTTGTGCAACGAAAACATTATTTCCAAACATTTTCATTCACGGTTTGAAACCGTTTTTCTGCATTTGCATCCAAAAGGACAAAGAATGTCGATCACATCGACTGCTAAATACATTAAAAAGTCAAAAGGGTTCGTAATAAAGTGAATCCAGCAGTATAAGCATGAAAAAAAAGTGAACGACCAGCCCAATCTGAAGCCAAACTGAGCCTCCTCGCAACAGGAAGATAAACGGAGAGTCAAGTTGTTCGATAAAAATTTAGGTATGTTGTTGAGCCAAGGTGTTGAACGGCTACGCCGTCTTAAAATAGAGGTCTCGCGCTCTACTATCAGGAGAAGATTAGATGTTGCCGGTGTTCGTTATCGCAGTAAATTGAAGAAACCGCTTTTGACAGAAAACCAGAAGAAAAAGGCACTGACGGGGCAAAGCAAAATTCAACAAGAGATTGGAGCGAAGTTATATACACTGACGAGTCATTCTTTTGGCTGGTGAATAGCACTACCCATGCCTAGTCTAGAGCCCAAAAGAGAATGGTCGTGCTTATGGTTGCTTTTGTGAAGCTGGTTTTGGAAAGTTGACCATATTCACGGGGATTCCAAGCGCCGTGAGGATGAACCAACATTATTCATCGACACAGTTACCCATCGCTAAGAAGTTCTATGGCAACCACAATTCGAATTGGCTTCTATTAGAAGACAACGATCCAAAACACAAAAGTCGTCTATGCAATGCTTGGAAAGAGGAAAATGACATTAAACAAATGGACTGGCCGCCACAGTCACCCGATTGCAATCCGAACGAAAATTTTTGGGCTATTATTAAGGCATGGCTTCGTGGTAAAACATACCGCAATTTGAAGCAGCTCAGTTCATTCATTCAGCGCCAGTGGAAAGGTTTTCAAAGCGAATATGCTGAAAATTTGAGCAAAAGTATGCCGAATAGATGTGCCTGTGTGATCGAGAAGGCAGGAGAATGGATTAAATATTAATTTGTGGCGCCGTAGCTTAGATACTAAATAGAATGTATATAAAATAATTTTGTAAAACTCTTGAGTTTTATTATAAAAAATCAACCTCTCTCTATAATGAAACATACTGTACTTCTCCGTATAATGAAAACCTATAAGACATAAAAAACTTTTCGTCTATGAATTATAGTATCCCTTTAATGTTTTATGTCATTTCTGATTGGATTTTTTTTGCGTGAGTACGTCAACATTATTGTCATGCAAAAATAAAGAGACATTTTTTTGTCTTCTTTGGACTGACTTTTCTTTTATGTTACATGCAAAATAAAGCGAAAAAGATTATGTTTGAATTTTTTGTGTGATATTAAAAAATACCGCCTCGTTCAACAATTGTTACCTTCTTGATTGACATTCCATTGGAATGGAGTCGGTTGAATCAGCAAAGATGCAAATAATTTAATTTATATTTATAGATTGTTCACAAAGTCAGAGCGAATGAATGAGAGTGATATATTGAAAAACCACAATAAATGACTCGCCACAATACTATAGAAAACTAAGAACTTTTGATGAATTTTACTGCGAAAATTAATTTTTTATAATAACCAATGCCCGACGAAATACCGAATGCAAAAGGATTTTGTCTGTATGGATTTTTTCGCTCCGAAATTTTATTTCATCTCAATCGGTTCATTCGTGTTATTTCACATCAATTGGAAATTAAAAATCCGATTGTGTATGGATTACGTAGCTTTAGAATCCAGATTTGATGGAAAGCTCGATTTGGTTTATTTGTTCGCATGGCAACTGTTTCATAATCATGACAGCCAGAGATACAGCAACAAGTTCAATACACACACCGCAGCAGCAACAGCAGCAGCAGCAATAGCGCGGTAGCACTTTCTATGTAGCATTGAATATGGTCAGTTCGATATTATTAGAAAGTTAATCGGCTTTATCCATGACATTTGGATCAGATCCGATTGTCACATGTTAAACAACAATTCAATACTCAATAAATTATGCTTCGGGTAATTTAATTCGTTTTGATTGATGTCTGTGTATGTGAGAGAGAGAGAAAGAGAGAGAGAGTGATGTGGGTGTCTGTACGGTTGCATCAGTCCTTTCTCAATTTAAATGAAATTTGCAAAGAAAATTGCACGAACGGCTTTAAATTCAATACTTTGACCACATATTCAGTATATTTGCATCCAACTTTATGGGTTTTCATGCATTTCAACCGAATCAAACACAATTGGTATGAGTTTAACGAGATTGTATTGTACGGGGTCAATTTTGCATGCCAAAATCCATTATGCAAAAATGTGCGATTGCAAAAATAGGGGTACTGGATGTGAACCGATTTTGAGAAAAGCACTCCTGATAACAACCAAACGGAAAAAAAAATAAACTCAGCGAACTAATTGAATTTGATTTTTCTGAAACCTTTCAATCAAAGTGAACACAAATAATGGCCAAATTGTACGATAATTGTTGATTGTTTCGTTGGCTATAGTGTAATCGGGCAGTTTTCATCTCGTACATTGTATGGAATGGAAATCGATTCGCACTGTAACGCCGATTCTAATTTAAATCACTTAATCAATGAATGAAAAACGATTGAAACTCATTTACCCATTTCATGTGTACGGCGTCAATGGATGGCACATAACCATGATAACACGCGCACACATAAACACAAACACATTGTTGTTGAAATTGCATGACGAATATCTTTAACATCGTTTGCAAAATTGCAAATGAATATACGTGCTTGTTTGATGCCACTTCAACGGGAAAATGTATGGTATTCGTTAATTTGAATTTCATGTTTCGTCTTAACTTTTGTTGAATTCTCGATGGTCCTTTCTATATAAGAGTTTGCACATAATTCTTGCGGGTCGAACATTTCTGTTGACCGAATCATCATTAAACACATCACGTAAAAGTCTGAGGTATTTGAAAATCAATGTTCAAATCATCAGACCAAATGGGTGATGGCCTGTGGAACGGAAACACGATGAACGGCCAAACATAACAAATGCTATTGGCGTAGGATTCTCTTTTTTTATTATTACCGACGTCCATTCAACATCTCACATTTGCGTTAACGAATCTTTGCGTCCGTTCACATCGTTGTTTTTTCGATTCCATTCCTTCGTTTCGACAACATCAATATAATGGAACAAAAAAAATAACAGCAGATGTTTTCAAATTGTCATGGCTCTGTTCTTTTTTTGCTGCCTTTTTTTCTGCTTCGCTAAACTAAAACGGACAACATTTGATTTTAACAAAATAAATCATATTTTTCGATGATGGAACCGAACTTTTTGAGCAATTTTTCGTTTCAAAGATGGAAAAATGACAAATGCCTGTTCAACAGCTTGAAGTATGTTAGATAAGCCAAAAGCCATTTTTTATTTATTTTTTTTTATTTCGTTTATTTGTGCTGTTATTATTATTTGTTGTGGGTTGCCCGAATATAGTTTGTGTGCGTAGATAAATTTGGCATTCCATCAATACGCTGTGTAAAATGATTGATTTATTATTAGTTGGTCGATTCGGTTGCAATATTTAATTGTGGCATGGAAACTATACCACCCCCATTCAATCAATATTTTATCGTATCAAAGCATGTTCGATGTATTTGATTGATTGGGTGTAAATGAGCACAATTTAATTTAACGAAGTAACCTAATAGACTGAGTAACACTGTCACATGAATGAATATGGCCTGTAAAATGGCTAAGAGTTTTCTTGATTATATAAATCCAGAAATAACATGATGGAATGGCCGGAGAATGTCATGCACGAACACACAAATACGCATAACGACTACTCAAATGAATGTTAATAGACCGGCCATTCGTGCATTCGACGTATATGCAAACGTATAGGCGCACGCATAACCAACTAACCAATAGAACCAAGCCAAACCATTCGAACAAACTATACTAAATCATTCAACGAACGAGAGAAAGAGAGAGAGCGCCATGCTAGATGATAGTTGTTGTTAAAATGTCGCCAAATGACCCGTGCTCATCGGTAATATTAAATTGACATTTTTCCTTTGTATCGAATCACTTTCACGTGAAAATTTAATGAGCCGCCAATCCCTTCCAAGTCTTATCAACATCTTTCTCATTGTTGTTATCATCAATTTTTTTTACCTAATTGAATCAAGCTAAAGAAACATTGCGATGTTCAATGTGTTTTACATTCATTTTCACCGACGAAGCGATAAGACATGCAAACCATATAGTTTTTATTCGTTTCATTTTTTCGCTCTCTCTTTTTCTACCTTTGCTGTTATAGTTCATAGACATTTATTGATTATCATGTCATTTTCCACTTGTTTTCCGCTTATTTACTTTAAGCATCGTATGATGCCATTGACGTTCAATTCTAACCCAATAAATTGAATGAAAATCATCAAATCAATAACGTGTCGTTGGTGGTTTTCACCTTGAAACCAATGAAAAAGGATGAAGAAGAAGGAGAAATATGTTCATAATTTAGTGGGCGCAGACCCACTTAAGAATATGCCATTAAATTGAGGCGTTTTTCCTACTCTCCCTATCATTCACTGTTTTCTATGTCTCTTTATGCCACCAAAAATGAGCTGAAAAAAAGACCATAAAATATT